GCCTCCACATGTCAAAATCTGGTGTTCTGGCTTTCTGAACTCCATTCACCTTCTGACAGCTTTTTCCCTGCCTCCACTGCTTCCCTCCTTCCCTGCCTCCCCCTCATTTTGTTGTTAATTTAAACTGTGTATCAATAAACTTTTAGCCAGATTTTACAGTGGAAACAAAAGAAATCAAGACATTTAAATTGCCTTCTCTTGGGAGGCAGACCAGACACTAGAATTTAAAGAGTGCATAGCGATGAGTGCCTTGAGCTTTTTTTTTGGATAAAACTTCATATACTCTAGCTTCAAATATTTTCATATCAAGAAGCCCAGAGTAAAGCCTTTCTAATTAATGAGTGAGAACTTTATAAGGCTCCAAGGCCACCTAATGGGGAATCATGATTACCACATATTTTTATATATTTGAATCATTACTTACATTAGGGAAACTATTCGGTATTCACACATGCGAGATTGATTTATTTCACTTATGAGTATGGTCTCAAGCTGCGCCCATTTATTGATAAATATCTCAATGTGATCCTTCTTTATAGCTGAATAATACTCCATTGTATAGAAATACCACAACTTTTTTATCCATTCCTCAGTTGATGGACACTTGGGTTGTTTCCAAGATTTGGCGATTACAAATTGTGCTGCTATAAACATAGGTGCACATATATCACTGTGGTATGATGCTTTCAGTTCTTCTGGGAATATGCCTAGAAGTGGAATAGCTGGAATAAATGGGATTTCCAGTCCCAACTTTTTGAGAAATCTCCAGACAGATCTCCACAAAGGCTGTACCAGTCTACACTCCCACCAGCAGTGCAGGAGAGTTCCTTTTTCCCCACAGCCTCTCCAGCATTTGTTGTCGGTTTTCTTGATCCTGGCCATTCTTTCAGGAGTGAGATGGTATCTCAGTGTGGTTTTAATTTGCATTTCTCTAATGACCAATGATGATGAGCATTTTTTCATGTATTTATTTGCCATTTGCATTTCTTCATCTGAGAATTGCGTATTCATCTCAGATGCCCATTTTTGGATAGTGCCTTGAGCTCTTAAGCATTGGGATGTGTGTGTGTGTGTGTGTGTGTGTGTGTGTGTGTGTGGTGGTGGTGGTCCTAACGGTGGTCAAACAATATTCCTTTTTGCATTTGGTTTTCTCAAAAAGTTTATTTTGCACAGTGCTAAAAATTTGAAGTCCAAGATCGCAGTACAGACAGGATCTTTGTCTTACAGATGGTCCCCTCTGGCTGCCTCTTCATATGGTGATGTCTCTGTGCATGTATCTCCCAACCTCTCTGCCACCTAATAAGGGCTTTAACCATACTGCATTAGGAACCTACTCTAACAGCCCTATTTTAACTCAGTCACCCTTTAAAAGACACTGCCTCCAATGCAGTTACCATCTGAGGTACTGGGGATTGAGGCTCTACTACTGTAGATGACAGGAAAGGTGACAGTCACAGCTCAGTTCCTAAAAACACAACCATTTTCACCTCTCACCTTCCGATATGATCTCTTCACCTCAGCTTTCCTCAGTGTTTGCAGTTTTCTCTGCAGTTGTCTTCACATGCTTAGTTAGATTCATTCCTGTTATGCCTGCCGGTGTGTAAGTGTGTGTGCATAGCTACTGTGAATGGCACTATTTTCTTTTCTTTCTCAATGAGTTCACTTTGGTGTGCAGAAAACCTACTGAGTTTCGTATGTTTATTCTGTAGCCTGCTAAAGTTTTTTTTTTAAAAACGTATTGAAATATAATCTATCTACCATACAATTCACCAACTTAAAGTGAATAACTCAGTGGCATTCAGTATTTTTGTAGTTGTACCACCACTGGCATAATTAATTTTAAAATGTTTTCATCAACCAAAAAGAAACCCTTCATATTTTAGCCATCAACCTAATTTTCCCCATGCCCACCACCATCTGTAGGCAATCATTAATTTACTTTCCATTTCCTCAGAGTTGCCTGTTATGGAAATTCATACAATGTAGTAGTCTTGTGTTTGGCTAATTTTATATAGGATAATATTTTCTAGCTTCTTCCATGTTGTACTTAGTATTAGCCTTTTTTAATTGGAGAAAAATATTCCATTGTACGGCCATATCACAGTTCATACATCTATTTTTCAGTCAGTGGACATTAGATTGTTTCTGGTTTTTGGTTATTATGAGTAATGCTCCTGTGAATGTTTGCTTGCAAGTTTTTAAGTGAGTTTGTTTTTCATTTCTGTGAGGTATATACCTAGGAGTAGAAATTCTTGCCATATAACAACTCTGTATTTAGATTTTTGAGGGACTAAAAGATTATAGCCCCAAAATTTTATATTCCTAGCAATAGTGTGTGACACTTCAAATTTCCCCAAATCCTTGCTAACACTTAATATTGTCTGACTTTTTAATTACAGTCTTTATAGTGGCTATTATGTAGTATCTTTTTGTAGTGATAAAGTTTCTTTTGAAAAGCTGAATTCTTTATCTTGAAGGTCTTTTTTTTTCTTTTATAAATTGTATTTTTTGTGTTATGTATAAGAAATCTTTGCCAAACTCATTTTCCTTAAAATATTTTTCTCACTTTTCTCATTTTTTTCTGGAAGTCTTAAGAGTTTTTGCTCTCAAATTTGTATGTACAGTGCACTTGGAGTTGACTTTGGTATAAGATGTGAGATAAGGGTCTAGATTCACCATTTTGCACATAGCTATCCAACTGTCCAGCATTATTTATTTAAAATATTATTTTTTCTGTCACAGGATGAGTTGTCTTGTTACATTGGTAATAATCAACTGGGAATCTAGCTTTGCATTCTTCTATTTAAAGAGGCTTAACCTAGGACTAATTTTGTGTAAATACTGAAGCAATACCCTTATGAATCTTCTACCTAATGCCTACTATGTTATGAAGTTTTACCTCTCTGGCCCCAAGGAAAATGTACTTTTCAGGTGGTTCTTTCCCTGCTGTAGTGCAACTTCTTAACTTACAATACCTGATTAATGCTCAGTCCAAGACTTAAGGGGAAACTTGGGAGTTCTCCAGAGAACTGCCTTTCTCTCTATTTAGCTCTTTATGGTCTTACATTCTACAGTTTTAGCCTTCCTGAATTTCATCTGCCTTCTGCATTCAGGGAAACTGCCGAACTTTGCTTTTATTTGCCTTCTCTGAACTGCTAGCTGAAAATTCTTTGCAGGCAGTTTTTTGGGTATTTCAGGGATTATTTCACTTGCTTGCTTTCCTCAAGATTGTTTTGCTGACCAATATGTTGTCCAGTGTTTAACACTATTATTTTATACCCCTACTGCCCCCAGTTATTTAAAGCAGAAAGCTGTATCTTGTCATTGTTACCTCATCTTGGGTAAAAGCTGAACGGTCAAGCCTTATCCTCTCAGTCTTAAGTCCACCAGTCTGGTTTGTGATACAAAGTACCCATCTTGGCAGTGGGGTTGTTGCTCAGTAGTGGCCTCTGCCAGGCATGCATGAGACACTGAGATCAAGCCTCAATACCACAAAAACAAAACAAAATACCCTACCTGCCCACCTGTCACCTGCCAGGCTTGTATTCTGTAAAACCTTCTCTTTGGCATAAAAGTATGAGTCATAACTCACACCAGCCCCAAGCAGGATTCTTCCTTACCTGGATAAAGCAATCTGTGGTTGTTTTTTCACTTGTTCTTTCATAAAAAATAACCTGGATTTAGTTGCCTGCGTTGCATTTTGGTCTGCATCATTTTCCACTTCTGTATCTACAAAAAATATATTTAGACTTTCTAAGCTTCGGTTTCCTCACCTGTAAAATGGAGATACGAACCAGGTCACATTTTGAAGACTGAATGAAGCAACCCACATAGTTTTAGCACAATGTCTGCATGCGGCAATATTGCTAAATTTGGTCTTTATTTCTCATTGCTTACTTCATTTAAATTACTGTCAGCATGTACCTGGGCTGATCATTGCCTTTCTTGAAATGTTTTTCACTTTGTGTCTGCTACAATACTTTTGGTTCCCCAGTTGCATCTCAGCTTTGTTATCTGTCAAATATCTCAGGGTAGTCTTCACTATTTGGGCTGACTTTACAGACCTTATCAAGGTTTTAAATTGTTTCTAAATTGATTACTTCCAAAGTGCATCTCTATCCTGGAACTAGGCCTGGAATACCAGACACAAATATCCTGGTGCATACTCTATGTGTATGGGTTACTGATCTCACCTTTTGGTCTAAGATCCATACCCTGTCCTTCCCCGGGGCCACTCTACCTCACAGGGTGGATGGAGTCTCACCCCTGCAGGCTAAGGTAGTGGAAAGGAAAGCCATGTTTTCTGTATCTTCCCCTTTATGGCCTTCACTGTCCCTGGCAGAGGGTGCAACTCAACTTCTGGTCTCTGATGACAGTATCTTCTCCCATTAAGGCCCAGGTTTCCACTGTGGCTAACAACCTCTGGGATACCTGGCTAAATCCTATTTGGCCTCTCTGCAACTCTGTTACCTGTGCAGCCATCTCCTCAGCCTGGAATGCTTCAGGTGGTTACTGGCTCTGTTGCAGCCTTAACTGATGCAGTTCTCTAATAGGTACTGGAAAATCAACACATTCAGAGCAACCCTCAAATTCTTCTTCCTGGTGCTTTTTTTTTCTCCATTTTGGCCGTACTTTCACTTTATTAACTGTGCCTGAGCCTTCCTCCACACTGCTTTCCTTCTCATACCTCTATCCCAGCCATTAGCACATCCTGTGGGCTCAACTTTATTAACACACTTACAGTGTTTCTCCACCTGTAGGGCTGTCAGTATCCTTGTTCAAGCCGTCATTAACTCTTGCGAGGACTACTGCAGTCTTCTACTTTCCACAGCAATCAGAGACCTCATAACATGCAAACCAGATTATGGTACATGGTATTAAACATCTCGCACTGGCTTGTGACCTGGGTCAGAGCTCAGCTGTGCGAGGCCAGGACACCGCTGCGCAGGACGGCCGCAGCGCATGCTCCACTGGGCGGCGCTCCCCAACTGCTGGGAGCCGCGGGGATGCGCGGAGGCGGAAGTCTTGGGGGCACTTCCCGGCGTCTGGCTTCCCCGTTAGCTTTGGGAGTAACCTGAGCAGGGTGGGTGGTGCTTGGCCTCCCCACGTGGGGTCCGCTGGGCTCCAGGTTCCCTCCCACTGCTATAACCCGGCGCCAGCGTCAAGCCCCGCGGTGTGGGTCAGTGGCTCCGGAGGGCGGCCGGGTGAGCGCAAAGCGGGACCTGGGTTAGCGGTGGGGGGCTGGGGGGGCGGTGGAGGGTGCGGGGGTGGAGGGTGCGGGGGTGAGGGGTGGTGTGGGGTGAGGACAGCGCCCTGCTGTCCACCGGCCCCTGTCCCCACTGCGGCTCCCAGCTCGGCTCCCCGCGCGCTCAGCTTGCGCCCCTGGGGTGCCTGTCTGCAGTGGGTGGCCGAGGCATCTGCCCTGCCCCCTGAAGTGCCCACCCTTCCAGGGCGCTGGATTACATAAGCAGCTAGCTCAGAGCTGCTGGACTGTGGCGACCGCCGGTCTCCGATCCCCAGCAGTCCTTCCTTCCCTCCGTTAGCTCCGGGGCAGCCCGCCCTATTCTTCATTCATTGCCAAAGGCTTGGCCGCAGGGTTCTGGTTACTAGGCCAGCGACGCTGCGGGTTGACCAGTTCACACTTTGCTGCCAGTGCTTCACCTCCGTGACCCTAGTTTCCTGAAAAGTGAGCTCAATAATACGTCCCTGGGTTGGTGGGAGGGAGACTGACTGCCTATCCGAAGTGCCCTCCAGGGTGGCACCCTGAAGAACTTAGTGGCAGTGGTGCTGTTTGCTGCTGTGGTTGTCATCCTCCTTGTTGTTACTAGAACACTAATGACAGGCTGCGTCGGAGCCTTTTCTTGGGCCACCCCACCCCATTTTTCAAAATGTGTGTTGTGCAGCTGACACGTGCATGGTACTTTGTTCCTTACAGATAGACAAAGTTGAGAGAGCCAGGCTGTGCGGAAATGAAGGCAGAGGGCAATTAACTGGATTGTTACAAAATCGAAAGAAGTAAGATAAAGGTCCTGAGAGCCCAGACTAGCGCCAAGGAAGGGGCCACAGTGTTTTCTTTTTCCTTTCCTTTCCTTTCTCCCCCCCCCTCCTTTTGTCTCTCTTTCTATCCCCCCCCCCCCCCCGTCTCTCTCTGTCTCTCTGTCTCTCTCTGGTTCTTTCTTTCCCTCTCCTTTGAATTCCCTGTCTCTTCCTAGATAGAATTGCTTGTCCTGTTGGAAGGGACAGTCAGCTGGGTGACATTTCCCTTTGAGTGGCTTCAGCTGTCATCCTTGGGGAGCATCCTCTGTCAGCTGGTCCAGGTTCTCTAGAATGGGAGCTGTGCAGAAATCAGCTGCTGCAGGATACTTATTTTAAATTGTGGTGGTAACCTTTAATGTTTCCCTTTAGGTCCACACCTATTCTATCCTAATAGACTGTGGGGAGATGGTCGTTATGATCAAAGGTAGCCCCAGGCCATTCCCAGCTATGGAAGGGCACACTTGGGACTAAAAGCAGTGGCCTTGCTTTGCCAGTGCAGACTCAAGATGACCTTGGCTCCTGTCTGCAATTTCGAGACTCACTATTTCTCAGAAAATAAGTCCAGGAGGAATTTTTTAACAGAAGAGAGTCAACTCATTTTGATAATTCTTTGAAAACTTGTGCAGTACGTGGTGTAAATACATTTTAAAAGACGATAGTACAGTTTTGAGCTTTGATTGACATATAATAGGCTATATTTAAATAGTATATTTAAGTACATGTGTACACCTGTGAGATCAGTTCAATATTATGAACCTGTACATTCTCCTCAAAAGGATTCCTTATGTATGTCCCCTGGTAATCCGCCCCACCTCTCCTCTCAGGCATCAGTGAAATTTCTGTCAATATAGATCAGATTGCATTTGCCAAAGTTTTATACTGATGTATCAAATACTAGTTCCTCTCTGTCTCTCTTTTCCTTGGGTCTGGCTTTTTCAATACCACATAATTATTTTGAGATTCATCAAAGGTACTGTGTATTCATTCCTTTTTTTGCTAAGTACACACACACACACACACACACACACACACAATTTACTTATCCTTTCCTTTGGAGTTTCCAGTTGTCCAGTTTTTGGCTTCTGCACCCAAGCTCTTGTTGGCATTTGTGTACAAGTCATTTTATGGGCATATGTATCTATCTATTTATTTAATGTAGAACTGGGCTTTATCTCAGCTGTTTCCTCTATCCAGATATTCTTGGGAGAGTCACATGTCTTCACCTTTTACATTTCCCAGGTCTTTGCTATGCTGTGAGTTTTTGGGTGATCTTTTCTCTTGGTTGGAGGCACAGGGGACTGGTATTAGCTTCTTTTATTTCTCTTGGAGGCTGCCTTTCATTTAACTGTTTTCTCCCTTGGGTGACAGTTTGGAACCTGAAATAATTTAGGGCAAGCACAGAAGTGAGTACATGGTGGGAGGCCAGAACTAGTATTATCTGAATTTAGAAATGTTTGCATTACAAGTGGAAGAAAAAGGTAGAAATTAACAGGTCTGGAGTTTTATGCCTCTTCTTTTGTGTGGGGGGGAGGTGGTCAAGTCTTCATCTAAGTTCTGTCTCCCGTTACTTCTCTAAAACCGATTTCTTTTACCTCGTGGTCAGGAGGCCAGTGGGTATGATGTGGGCTCCAGAGGTCCCATGACCCCGGAGTGGCAGGAAGGGAGATTACTCAGCAAAAAGGGGTTCCTCATTTTCTCCTTCCACGTGTGACGGGAGTCGTTTGTACTTGTCTTTCACCTGACTTTGTCTTTCCCTAAACCTGGTCCAGAACTGTTTATGAGAGCTTTAATTTGCCAGTGCATTTTTGCGTAGTAAAATAATAGCACAGTATTTCCCTAGAATGAAAATGCAGACCTGGAGGCTGCTGGTTTCTCTGGTCCTTGGGATCCTGTATTCTGCTGGGTCCAGGGGGAAGGTGACAATCGTGAATCCTGAAGCCAACATGAATGTGGTAAGTTCTCCAAGTCATGTACTTCTATGGTGTGGCTGTGACAAATGTTATTTCCTTAAACATGGTTACATGGGCTGTGTGAGGCCTAAACTCCATTCTCATGTGCTTAAGGTTATTATGCTTTTCTTTTTCTTCTTCAAATCTTAGATTCTGTTTGCTATATTTCATCCATAAGTGATGGTTTTAGAATACACCGAAAAAAGATTTAATTTAGAATATCTAGGGAACAACGTACGTAGATGCAAAAGTCAGAGTTGCTAGAAAAGATAAGCAAAAATATCTCCATTAATTAAAAGATAAGCAAAAATATCTCTATTAATTAAAACATTGCAATTATTCATCTTAACTAAACATTTAAACCTGAAAGTACTTCCCTTAAGTGTAAAATATTAAAAAATACAGATTATTTAAGCTAATAACAACTTTAAAATAGAAGATGCAGTGACCTAATTTGATAAATCAGTTAACTAAAGACCCTGAGAAAAATTCACAGTGAGTCAAGAGAGTATGGCCTGATAGCATGGTCTTCCGGGCAGTTTCAGTTCTTATTCCAAATCTTTTATTTCTCCCTCTTCTAATCAATTCTTTCATGGAAGAATAATAAAATTAAGTCTTTCCAATTATTTATGATAGAGAGGATAATCAATTATTTACATTACATTTTGTAGATATTGATTCATTTATATGCTACAAAATTGCCAATTAACAGTTATCAATAGATTTCTTAAGGAGGGACTCTGATCATAACTCCATATTTTTTAGTGTAAATTTTTTAGTTCATTGAAAGAAAATGGATTGTATTTTTATGCTTTCTTAGAATGGGACTTCTTAAAATAGTGCTAGCTCTATCTAAATCTAGAAAAGAAAGAAGTAGGTATTTGTGCCTGGCAGTCAGGACAGAAACAAGACCATATGGTATGGTAAGATTAGAAAGACTTGATAGAGAATGTGCTGGAGTCATGACATCAAGGTTTAGCCAAGTATGTGGGTACAGAAGATTTATTCTCGTGATAGAATGTTGGCTACTAGATTGAACAGACTCAAAGGACAGCAACAATTGATTCTTAATAAACCCTGGAAAACGTGTTTGGCATTTTACGTTCTCCTTTGCCTCCTAATGTGGAAGATGGCATCAGGTTCTGTCCATAAAGCGCCCATTGTCCTTTCTCTCTGCAGACCGAAATTATCCTACACTGGGGATTTCCGGCTGAGGAACACCTGGTGGAGACAAGAGATGGTTATATTCTGTGCCTTCACCGAATTCCGCATGGGCGGAAGAAGCCTTCTGTCACAGGTGTGGATGTTTTTGTAGTGCGCTAGGAGAGCTCTGAAAATAACTGCTTTTTGGAATTTAGCTGGTTTTTATGTCTGCAAGCAAGTTCATATTTAACTTTAAAATACTGAAATGAAGTTGATTTTAGACTAATGTACTAAATGTGTTACATTTATGCAAGGCATAGAAAAATACTTTTCAAGAAGTTAGGATGACTCAGCTAATTTCATATTTTGCTTAAAGGGTCAAGGAGATGTTCCTTTAAGGCGATGTTATAATGTCTGTCTTCTCTTTTTGGTTGGTTTGTTTCATGAGGAAGCAGCTCCCTAGTAGAGTGGTGAAAGCCTGTAATTCCAGTACTCTGAAAGGCTGTGGCTGGAGGATTCCATATTCCAGCTCAACTAGGGCAGTTTGACAATTTAATGAGACCCTGTCTCAAAAAACACGAAGAGAAAATCCTAATCAAACCAAAACGGAAAGAAAAAATTAAAAGAGATTGGTAATATACTGCAGTGTGAAAGTCCTGGATTCACTCTCTAGTGCATCAAAAAACAAAAACAAAAAACAAGAAAGCATCTTATTTATTGAAATGTTTTGAGCATAAAGTAAATGGCTTTTGTTATTTGAAAATTGTTTAATTTTTTGAAGAGGTAGTATAGTCACATAGTCCTAAAAACAATAAAAGGATGCACAGTAGAATACTTCTGAAATCTCCTTAATTTTTAATCTCTTTATCTCCAAAAATTCATTAGAAGCAAATATAAACATGGATTCTTTCTCTTTTTCTTTTTTCTTTTTTTTTCTGGTACTAGGGATGGAACTCACGACCTCATGCTTGCCAGGCACCACTGAGCTAAATCCCCAGCCCCTAAACATGGATTCTAGTTTTCTTCTGCCTCCTTTTTAACTCAAAAGGTGGCATATAATGCACACCCTTCTGTTTTTGAATGTTTTATTAAATATTTTGGTGATCTTTCCATATAATACATAGAATACTTTCTGTATAGATTACATATTCCATTATACAGTTTTATCATTATTTATTTAATTACTGTCCTATTAGTGAGCATTGAGCCATTTCTAGTTTTCAGTTAATAAATATTGCTGCTGCAAAAACCTTTTATGTAAGTCCAGTTATAAAATGCATTTTTATAAATAAAATTTTGGGGTCAGAGGGTGCATAGATTTGTGTTTTTGGTACATATTGTTAAAAACCCTAAATTGTTTTCCTTGTGCATTTCATAAACACTCTCATTAGGAATATATGAAAGTTATTATAGATTTGGATTTATACATATGTCTTTCATTTTTTAATTCAAAAAGTTGCAATTTTCAATGCAAGGAATTCTAGACAGACTACTTAAAATCGTTAAACGATATAAGAAAGCAAATCTTTATTCAGTCATCTCTCTAGACATAGCCTATTCTTTTAACATTTTCTCTTCTAGAAATTTTCCTAGAGACATGAAAGTTAGATTAAGGTGTTGGATAATTATCTCTTCACTGTTAAAGTTTTACATGGGCAGAAGAGCCTTCTTTATCTGTTTCTTCTTAAATCATTATTAAAAGTAAACTTCAAAACGGTCTGTATCAGTTTGAGCTTAGTATCTCTGTATATATGTCTTTTCTTAAGGTAATCTGATTTACTGATTTTTTTCTTTCATAAATTCTAACTATAATAAGGTACGTAATAAGTACATAATAATGCTTAAGTGGCCATGATAATTCTTTCTGAAATTTAATTTCTATCTTAAGATTTTTTTATGGCATGCTCTTAATCTTCCCTTTTATAAATATGTCATTGAGTGATGAGTTGCAGTGGGGGCTTCTAGTTTTTCCTTTGCTTAATACACATAAAACACTTATTTTATGCCACTGTAAGTATATGATTTTGGTTTCTTTCCCTCCTTTTTTTTTTTTTTTTTAAAAAAAAGAATAATCCTTATACTGATCTCAGACCCAATATAAATAAGTGTTGATACTATTTTTCTTAACTTTGCCACTAACAAGACTAGTAATGTGCCTCATCTTTGAAAGGAGCAGGGAGTCTCAGTAATGCCATACAAAAGAGTGTACCTTGCTTCTTTTTCTGTATCCATCTCTAGGCTTCTCTCTCTACATAGCATGTGTCACACTACTGCAAGGGAAGGGTCAGGGGCTTGGGATGTAGTGACCATGAGTCTTGCTATGTTCCCAAGCGGTAAGAGGAAGCATAGAGGATCTTAGTGCCAGATCTAGGTCAATCATTATATCTGTGTTTTACACTGTGGGTCCTGGATTCTTCATCCATAGCAATAGTGAATTGATTGGATAATCTTGAAATTCTCATTTATTTGTTAGCATTCTGTACTTCTGTGGCTGTGTTCTGTAGGGGACAAGGGTGTCAGGATGGGGAAGTGGATACTCTTGGTCTTCAGAATGGGGAACATGGATTGAAAGTCTAATTCTGGCCACAGCAGTAGGTCCCTACCTTCTTTGGTTCTAAAGTGTCCTATGAGTGGTACCAGTGACGTATATATAGTGCTACGAGTTGACCTCTGAGGGGACTTTTTAAGGCAATCTGTGATGAAGAATTGTGATTTTCCTAAGAATTGTACTAGTATTTTTCTGATGATTTGCCTTCCACAGTTCAGGGCAAAATGTGGGGCTGAGGCACTTTATTGCCCTTCTTGTCTACTGAAGAGCAATTTTGTCTGTGCTGTTACTTTGACCCAGTGAAAGCCTTAAAAAATACCTAAAGTCCTTTACACCAACAGTGGAACTCATCCTGATCTCATGCGTGCCATTTTCCCTTCAGACTTCCTGTTAATAGCACCCTCCTCTTCCAGTGACCTAGACTAGAAACTGCAAAATCTTCATTTTTTATTTTCCCTTTTTTCAGTACTGGGGATCTAATCCACGCATACTAGCCCAATGCTGACCACTTAGCTACATCTGCAAGCCTTACAAAATCATTCCTGACATCTACCTTGAAGTAGCTGTCAGGCCCTCGTTAGCCAGCGGCGCTCTGTCCCTTCATTTCTCCCGTTCTCTGACCAGCTTGTCTTAAGCTCTTGTTACCACTGAGTGGAGTACAGACAGTAGTCTCAGAAGCCGAGGAGAGGCTTGACGAACTTCCATTTTTTGAACTCCCCATATTTTAGAGAAGAAAATTCAGAACAGGAATATGGAAATTTGGTTTGCTGATGATTTAAAAAATTAATGCTTTTAATACATAATCCCATCTATCTGTACTAATTATAAGTAATTACACAATATACTAAAACATCTTTCATTTATTGGGACTACTTTCCTTATAGAATACAACTGTACAGCTGAATAGTGATCTTATTTTTAAACTTTTTTGCCACATATATTTATTTAAAGATAAGCCATGTTTTCTTGATTACCAATATTTTGTAATAAAACATGTCCTTTTTCCTAGAGCTCTTACATATTCTCTTGAATAATGACATTAGTGACAATATAGATTATGAATTTCATCTTGTAAATACTTTTTTTGAAAAAGGAAACTTGTATTGCTTCAATACATTTTGGATATTGGTGACTTTCTTTTTTAAAAAGTTGTTTTTATTAGTACATATTTTTCATACATAATGTTTGCATTCCTTGCGGGGAATTGGGAATGGGAGCATCTTTCAGCTTTGACTCGGTGAGTTCCTCCAGCTCACTTCAAGGTCTTTAGACGTTGGGGACCACTAATTCACAATGGCTAAATTTGTATACTTCTTTAAGAGTTGATCGAATGGAGGCTTGGGATTTTCAATACCTCCTATTTGAGATTTCCCATTGACTCTTCTTACCATATGGTCATCTACACCCTCTTGAGCTATCCCAGGATTATTCTCCAGGTCAAGTCCTTCTTAGCATGTGACCATCTACACCTTCTTCAGTCACCCCAGGATTTTACTGGAAGGACAAGATCCTTCTTAGCATATGATCATCTATGCCCTCTTGAGTGTTCTGCCAAAGTGTAATCCTGTGCTAGCCCGACCTATCACTGTATACACCTAATAAGTAGTGGCTGCTTTGGGAGTGGATATTGACTTCCCAGCTTTGATGTACTGCTATACTTGCCTGTGTCTTTTTATTTTTCTTGCCATACTCTTAAGACAGACAATTGGGACTCTTGGCCAGGATCCTGATACTTAGAGAGTTGTATGAACATAGCGTTGGGCCAAGTGACTTCTCTGCTTTCTTAACCTCTGCCAATTTGCCTCTTTTCTGCCTGCCTCCCCATTCTTGCCTGTCCTACATAGTTTTGCAGGATGATGTTGCTTAAAGGTCAACCATAATTGTTTGATTTTTTCTAGGCAGCAATCTTTAGGGCCCTAATCGATGAAGATGCGTAGATTAATATTCTGTCCTGACTTTCACACCTATCCTTTATAGAGTGGCTCTTGACTACTTGGAGTATATGCATGCTGTTATCCACAGTTAAGCAGTCTTTTTAACAAGTGTTGAACTCTCCTTTTTGCTAGCATTTTAAGGGAACTGAAAGTTAGAAATTAATCATTTATGTAGAAGTGGTTATGTTTGCATCTGTTCAGCCCTTACTTCACAGTCATGAGGTATCAGTATTAGAAGGATCTCAGATTCCTGCTTGGGTCAGAGCGTTGGAGAGCTTATATTTTAACATATTACCCTGGGTACTTAGAGGCATCTGGGCATTTATGATTTGTACCAGCATCCTCATTTTACTGGGTGAGACAACTAGGTTCAAAAAAGAAAAGAAACTTGTCTCAGGTTAAAGGACAATTGTCCTACCAATAGATTCAGTGTTTCTTGAACTTGAGAGAATAACCTTACAAAATTAGTATTGAGCAAGCTGATCCCATGAGTTTCACAATATAGTTTTTATTTGGCTAAAACAAGAAAATGCTGATTCTGCCAGCATTAAAAATAAAATACAAGAAGCAGTAACAACAGCAACATGTAGCTTTACTTATTGCCTGCGAAATTAGCCATTCACTAAAGAAAACAGCAGGGTAGCATGTCTGTACTGAAAAGTTGTATTCTGG